CGGCCCACACACCGAGCGTCGTTTAAGCAGCGCTTCCTCGGGGGCGGAGCGCGTGCTTCGCGCGCGCGCCCCTGGGCTCCATCCCTGGACCAACCCGCGCATACTCAAGCGGACTGAGCCCATCCCCACGTCTTGTTAAACCGCTTTTAAAGTTTAATTTAAGGTGCCTATTTAGATGAGCGAATGTATTGTATTTGTATGTATTTTCAATACCGTGTTCTAAGTAATTTGCCGTAACTGGTCCGTGTAGCATCAGTTCATTTAATTAAAATACTTAACTATAGGATCATTCATGAGCGATGCACTTATTCCAAGGGCTACGGCATGACGGATTTATTAAAGTCGTAACTGTAACACCCTGGCAGACAGCTTAATAAAAATACAGTAACTGTATACTCCTTGCGGGGAACAGGGAAACGGTAGAGGGAAATGGTGTCAGCCTTGCCCGTAACACAAGGCGGGCTCGGCCTTGTGGCGGGAGGAGAAAGGGTCTCACACCGTTCCCACATCCTCCCTCGCTTCACACCCCACCCTCTCCTTCCAGTCATTAGCAGCCGTGGACCCCGGGCTGCGCAGACAGGTGGCGGAGAGCTGGGAGCAGACCGAGGATGCTACAGGCAGTGGGGTGACATGTGCTTGTTCTTGCAAAAAGAAAAAAAAAAAAAGACAGAGCCTGAATGATGCCCCAAGAATGACTGTCGAGGGCCCACCAGCAAGTTTTGCCTCAAGACACATACGCTCTAATATCATGGTTCATAGCAGAAGGCAAGCTTGCTTCTGCCAGAACGCCCCACACCGACACCTTTAAGATGTTAACATTAAGATGGGACATTAAGATCTGCGGCTGGTTCTTAGCAGCAGAAGGGTAAACTGCTCTATAGTTCACTAACTTAATTATTATTGTTATCAGTGACCACTGATAATTGTCCAAGAGTCTGCCCCATCGCACCTTAAGGTACCATTACGTCTAATTTCTTGCTTTGAAGTGGATGTTTATTGCACAATGGCCTGGCTGCCTTTCAGTCGACTCTCCTGGTGGTCCAGAGGATGCACAGCCTGACAGCAGTGCCATGGGACCCTGGATGACACAAAGAGACTTGCCAGTGGCCAGCCACGCCCTTGCAGAAACCGAATGGAATGGACTCTCTCTGCAAGTTGGGTGGCAGGGGTCAGAGACGTGGTGCTTCTCTCCACTGAAGCTTAGAAGTTACAGAATATTATCAGAGAAACCGTGTCATCGTCTCCTGTTTTTGTGCTGAGGATTTAAGCATCTTCTTACATTCACCCCAGCGGGATCTCAGTCCATCCTTCCCCCAAACCCCGGCTGGGAGAGGAGGGGAGTGCACTTTGCGGACAATTTTAATCAGTACAAAAGTGCTTACAGCCCCCCCAAAGTGACGCTTTCCCACTTAACCGCCTCGTGTCTCCCAAAGTCATGGTTCTGTGTTTTCCCAAAGAACCCCTGGCATCATTTGCTTTTGAAACCAGGAATCAGCAAGAAACGGAGGTAGGGAAAAAACAACGTGTATTTCAGATTAACGTGGCATATTGGCATATTGAAACCTCCCACAGAATCTATCTTCCTTAATATGCTACAAGGGGAGAAAAACCCCACAAAATTCACTTTGGCAAGAAGCTAAAGAAAGGTACATATTCCAATGAAATATATACTCATAAAAAAAAAATCAAAGAACCAAAAAAAAAAAAAAAGAAAAAGAAGAAAATTCTGGCACAACATGTTTAGCAAAGCTTCCCCGCTGGTCGCACTTACAAAAATCTTAACTATAAACCAACAGAATGCCCAGCAATTTCCCTAAAATCCCCATATCTGCAGAGAATCAATTCAGATAGTGTCTTTTTCCACTTCTGATCAAAAAAGCAGCTGACACTTCTGCTGATGGGAACCAGGTGACCCTGGACTAGTGAGTGGTGAGGCTGGTCTCCAGACAGGAGACAGGAGTTAGGCCCTCGATGCTACATGCAGAGAGGAAACAGCCCAGTGTCCAGAGTAACCCCCTGCAGGGCTGGAAACCACACTTCTCAACCAGGGACAGGGAGAAAGTCCTTTATCAAAGACTGCCCTTCGCCTCCCCTGAACTTCCCCCAGTCCCATCCTTGGTATCCTTTCAGGATTTAGAAAAGTTAACGTAAGGGGTTAAAAAAAAATCTGATACAGTGGGAAGAACGCTGACATGTATTTCCTATTCATCCAAGGGAATAAAGAAGAGAAACACAGACCAATGAGGCCATCCTAGGAAAGCAGCTTAGTTCAAGGAGGAGAAGAAATGCCTCATAATGGCTTTGTGGCATAGATTCAATTTAAAAAAAATACTGAAACACAGCATGCTAAAGCAACAGAGTAAGGCGAAAATGGTGATTTTGGATCTCAGGAGATAAATGAAGTCCAGACAGCATTATTATAGTGTTATACATACGTGGGTTAGAAACAGCAAGACACAGAACATAAAGTACCAAAAATGGAATGACTGATGTAGAGGAAAAAACATAAGATACTACAGGGAATCAATGTGAGAAAGACAAAAAAATAAACTTAGAGAAATGCTAACAGATGTGGAAGACAAACTCTCCAACATAAGGACAACTGGTATCTCTCACAGCAGATGGAACAAAAGATATGTTTATAAATTAAAAAAAAGACTTTCCAAGAAATAGAAGAGGAAAAAATAAAAGGAAATCTCCAGATTAAAATGTCAGGGAATTTTTTTTTGTTTGTTTAATTCAGAATGCAGAAACACCAAGCCATGTCCGAGTCAGGGTGTTTAAACTCTCCAGGCGTGCAGAGAGAACATGGAAGTCTTGCCTTCCATCCTCAGGGCAAAATTTAGAAAATTCTCAGGGGAGGAAAAAAAAAGTGACCAGCATCATATACTCGCCAAGAAGTTCTTCAAGCAGAAAGGCAAAAGCAGAGAGCCTCAAACGCAGAACAGTGGAGGAAGCAGAACATTTGTAGAAGCTTTTTGAAAAGTCCAATGAATTAAGGGATTACTCAAAAATAAATGGAAATAGTAGGGCAAGAGCTACATCTGAGCCTTGACTTTACTTATAAAATGAATAACAAACAGCTAAACTACTTGGAGAACTAATTCAGACTAAAATGTGAATAGTATGCAGCTGGAAAATGTAAAAATCATCATATAACCGAACACTGGGAGGCAGAGTAACACCCTCGCTTTTCAGAGCAGAGACTCAGCTGACATTGTCTAAGTGGAAGCAAACAGATTTATTCTTTAAAAAATTTATCTTTATTTATTTATGTTGGTGGGGAAGGGATTAGGTTTATTTACTGATTTATTTTTAATGGAGGGACTGGGGATCAAACCCAGGACTCCACCACTGAGCTATATGCTCTGCCTCCCAGAATCAAATAGATTTAAAAATGGTTTGAAGATCTTCGCGTTTTTCACAGCACAACTTTTTAATCGTAGAGAAATCCTTTACAAAAGGATATCTTTCTGGGAGGAAAAATCTATTTGACGACAAGCCAGCCGTCCAATTTTGTTTGGTGCTTACCAAACTCAAATTCAAATCGAAATAACAAATCCGCCTCTGAAATTTAAGACACATCTAAATGTGACACTTTCATTTGAACCAGCATTTGTCATATGCCAGCGTCTTTACGGAAGTCTTAACTTCACGTTTATCGATCCACCTCTGCGTTGCATCCACTCACAATTATAAGCAAGAAAGATAATTTCCATGAGGCTCAGCTACTCTTAATGTTGGGCGTTTTCTGGATGATGGATTTTGTGGTGATTTTCAAACATCTTTGCATTAAAATTCTTGACATTCACCATGCGTCATTGTAATAATAAAACAGTTTTTTTTAACTTAAAGAAGAAGAAACTATACCAAGGAGGTTATGATGGGTGGCAGGAAGCCGACCACAGTCATAGTCCTCTTTTGGTTCCTCTCTGTATTTAAAGCGTCTTCCCACCCTCGCCACGTGGACTCAAGACAGCAGTTAGCAATGCTGAGGACTGCTGTCCCTTTCCTGATGGGCGTTGTCGGTCACATGCACCTGTGTCTGGGTATCTCAGAGCATCAGCTCTTTGACGACACAATGGTGAGGGAGCTTATCTACACTCATGCCCAAGTTCAAACACTCTATTCAGAGATTGTGTGTCAATAAAGCAAAAATGTATGCCCCTCTGAGCAAAATCATACCGCCTTATAGGTTCCCCACCACCATCACCAAGCGGACATCGGGGAGGAGCCGGGGACCACTGCCTTCTCACCGCAGCCTGGCCACCTGAGACCCCACCCCCGCGGGTCACCTCCCTCCTGCCCTGCTGGGGAAATGGACCGCCCGCCTCATGCTCACGGCGCAGGGGCTCCCATCCACGTGGGGTCTCCTGGCACTGTCTATCTGGCCGGTGGGTGGTTCGTAAAAGTGTTCTGCAACAGAGTCCTAATCCTCTCCCCTGGACGTGACCCTCCCCCAATGGCATGACCCTCTCCCCACGGTCCTCTCCCCTGAGCATGACCCTCCCCCCATGGTCCTCTCCCCTGGGCATGACCCTCCCCCCACGGTCCTCTCCCCTGGACATGACCCGCCCCCATGCTCCACTTTCCACGTTATCTTCATGGTATTATCATCACACTGAGGGTTTCTAAATGCTCTCACAGCCTTGCTGTTCATCTGTGTGCACAAAACCCTGTGAGATGCGTAAAGAGGGGGCCAAGGCTCGGAGAGGTTGAGTACCTTGGCCACGGTGGTAGTGCAGGCAGGTGGCTGCGCCTCCCCTCCACTGCCCAGGTGTCCTGCTGCCTGCACTCCACTGTCTGGCCTGCATGGGGGCGATGGGTGCGTGTGTCTGTCACCCACAGCGGACACAAGCCCCTGGAGGCAAGGGCTGCCCCGCCCTGAAGGCACCGGGCACCGGGAGAGACGCGGTGGCGAGAACAGCCACCATGGCTGTGTCTCCTCTTTACCGGGCACCTCCTGGGCCAGCTGCTGCGACGCTCTGCCCTTTAAACCGCCAAAGTCGCCCATGTGGGGATATTATGAGCTTCTTGTGAAAAATGGGCACCTGATGCTCAGAGAGGTTGCTCAGGTCCGGGGGGGGGGTCCGAGCCCTGTGCGCAGCACCCCGGGCTCCCCCAGGTGGACACCCAGCGCCCACAGGTGACTTCCCCGGACGCTGCAAACCCACGTCTAAAAAAAACCCTTGGGAGGGAGGTTTGTTATTTTTAAGAAGCCTATTGGAAAAAAAAAATGAATTCCAAAATGGTACGCTTACCAAATTTTGCTTTTTTAAAAAAAGGAGCTACTTTTTCCCTCTCTTCTACCCTCCACTCATTACGGCCTGAGGCTAAAAGCACCCGCGTGGTGGTGGTTTTAAGGGACAGCAAACGTTTAACTCTTACCAACAAATTTCTGAGGCATAGAACTCTTACGTTTGGCGACGTTACTTGCTAGCCTGTCCAGCACGAGGGAGCGCTCTGGTCCGATCTTGCACAGGTCTTCTGCCATCTCACTGTGGTTGGTTTCTTCTTTAATGACTAAAGACAGAGACAGTTAGAGAGGCCGGTTTAGAAGCACTTACGGTGAGAGGATTCGGTCTCGCCCAGCGTTCGAACTGACATCGGTCTGATCAGCCCTCAACTTCTCACATCCTCCCCCCAGGCACCGATCCAGTCCATCCGGACAGCAGCAATCTTGAGGATCAAAGGACTTTCAGAGCTGGACGTGATGTAAGGGCCCCATTCTAACGACCAGCACCACAAACTAAGATGCAGAAGGCACGTGGCCACCAAGATGCTTCACCGACTCCCGGCAACGCGGGGAGAGGGCCCAGAGCTCCGGGGCCCTGAACACGCAGCCAACCGAAGACCCAATGACGCCGCCCAGCAGGAAATCGTGAAACTGGGGAGGCGGGCGTTGGTTCAGGGAGTGTTTCCAGCCCAGCCTTACTTCTCTGAATCCTCCCTTTCTTTCCAGAACTGCGGACACAGCTTTGAATCCCGCACAGTCCGGCTGCATCCCAGCTTTCTTGATTGGATCTCTGGAAAGATAACTCTGTCATCTCCCTGCAGTGGATCCTCACGTGTAAGAAGCGAGAAATGGAAACTGATATTGTCTTCCCAACGGCCAGTCAGTTCTTCTGACACCGGTTCTGAAGGGTCCACTTGGACCACATTGCTGTGTGCTTCCTCCTGGCTCAGCCGGGATGTGCTGACCCACCCCGGGGTCTTTGGAGGGTTTACCCGTCTCAAGCGTTGATTTGTCTGTTCTTCAAAGACGTCTGTGACACAGCTACATTTTCATATAGCATCATCCTTCTTCTTTAAAAAAAAATGCCACTTTCCTCATTTATTTTTCCAGATACACTTGCCAATATTCCACTAAGATGGACAAATCGATATCACATTAAACCCGGCCCAGATTCCAGAGGACGCACGTGCCGTGTCTGCAGGCTCCCCTGTGCTCGGCCTCGCCTCAGGATGCTTTGCTGGACTTCTCACCATGCCCTGCACGCTACCCGCTAAGATCGTTGCTAAAAATTTTTGTGTCTTCATTGCCTCATTCTGAATGTCGCCTAAAAATATATTTCAAATTGGTTATTACCAATGGTATGTGCGACTTTTCCGCTTTGGGAGTGTGTGTTTCCTATTAAGTGGGCGAACGCAAAAGCCCACACCCTGATTTACAGGAGGGGTATGTACTAAATCTATAGAATTCAGTTCCACTGGTTGTGTTTTGACTTATCAAATTAATACGTTCTCTCTCTTTTTTTTTTTTAAATTGAACTGTAGTTGATTTATAGTGTTGTGTTAGTTTCTGGTGCACAGCATAGTGATTCAGTTATACATATATTCCTTTTCATTATAAGTTATTACAAGGTATTAAATATAGTCCTCTGTGCTATACAGTAGGACCTTGTTGTTTATTTATTTTATATAGAATAATGTGTATCTGCTAATTCCAAACTCCCAATTTACCCCTCCCCCCACCCCTTTCCCCTTTGGTAACCAGATGACTGAATAGAGAAGTTGTGGTATGTATGTATATACAATGGAATACTACGCAGCCATGAAAAAGAATAATGCCATTTGCAGCAATGGATGGACCTGGAGATGGTCATACCAAGTCAGACAGAGAAGGACAAATTTCATATGGGATCACTTATATGTGGAATCTGTACGAATGATACACATGAGCTTATTTACAAAATGGAATCAGACTCACAGGTATAGAAAACAAACTTATGTTAATATGCCTTCTAATGTGTCTACCTTCTCTGCAAAGTGGGGCATGGTGGCCTGCCCAGGGAGCCCACAGCCCCTCCAGCTGGGTTTCCTGTCTGCCAGGGCACAGGCCCTGCTGAGAGCTGAGACCCTCAGAGCCACCACAGTGAGGGACAGTGAGCCCAAAGCCCACCGACCATAGCTGCCCCAGCCTCTGATGAATTTCCCTCTAAGGGCTGGCAACACAAGCCGGGCGCCTTAGGCTCAAAGGAAGCTTATATTTTCCGTAAAGACATTAGGAAATACTAACAGATCACCCAGAGCCTTTTACAAAAAATTGTATTCAGAAAAGTGACATCTTTCCTCCCTGTTTGTACTTAAACCAAAAGAGTGGCCTCAACCGAAGGCGGACTGGAGAGGGAAGAGCCCTTGGGAGCGTCCACCTGAGCGTTCATGGGGGCTGGTCTTGGGGGTCATGGAGAGGCTGGGGGATGGGAAACACACAGAGGGCAGGGGTCAACCTGCCCTGGCCCCGCAAGACCCCACCCACTGGGGCCCCGAGTCCCCAGTGGTCAGGTAGGACTTGCACCAAAGTGCTTGCCGGAGAGAGTCTCACCCAGCAGTACCTGCGCGCAGGGAGCCTGCTCGTGGCCTGAGTCTAGGATGCAGCGCCCTTGTGTGAATTCCAATTGTCGGGTCACCAAGAGAGAACGACTGCATGGTTTAGGGTTAAATGGATCCCAGCGGGAGGGTGACATCTAATGTGTACACTCCTGACAGGGCAGCTCAGGGGGGAGAACCCAGTTTCGGGGTCCATCCGGCAGCCTCAGCGTGAATGTTCAGCCAGGTGCATGGTGCGAGCCTCTGCCCCCACGCCCCTCTCACAGCCTTTCCGTGGGGCTGGCCCAGGCGGGAACTGTCATCCTCCTAAGGGATGAGCCCTGGGTCACGGTGGTCGAAGCAGATTCCGAGACGGGCCTCAAATCTGGGTCTTGGTGAAACCAACTCTGCTTGTCCTCTGGGGGAACCTCTCCAACCTGCTGTGATGTCACGGCTTGTCACCTTGGCAACGAGAACGATGGAGAAGGCCAACCCCCTCTGGGCCTCGGGGCCACTTTGTCTCCTCAAGTCCACGTGTACAGTTTAAGGGGGAAATTCAGATTATTGTATTCGCTAGGACTTGGTATTTTCGGTAATAAGTCCTCAGCGAATTTCTGTTGAGGACATAAATGGCTTATTTAAACGTTTACTCGCAAGACCCATTAACTTATTTTTTACAAAGACAATATCTGATTGTTCACATTTTATTTGAAAGGAACGTAATTAGTCCCTCATCCCTCAGCCTCCAGCCCTAGGATCTGGCCACACATTATTCCAGCGATGCTGATGATTTTAACGTCTAGCGTTTCCTCTTCAGCTAAACCTTCAGCAGCTTTCCATTCCAGAAATAGACCTGGGACTCTGAAGGAAGCTAAATGGTAACGTAACGGAATCTGCCCATTTTACAGGTAAGAAGATCAAGGCCCAGAGAAACCTGTTAGCCCCAGGTCTCAGGCAGATCAGCAGGGGGGGACAGCGCCATGATCACAGTTCCCTCGAGGCCAGGACTTCGATTTTTACAACTCGTTCTAATTCTGACCACTCTCTCCGTCCGCTCCTGTCTGCTGTTGGTAACCCGAGCGGTCCCGAATGTACTTCAGAGCATTGAAGTAGACTTTAAAAACGGTGAGGATAGTAAGTTCATGTTATGTGTATTTTACCGAAGAGCAAAATGAAATAAAATTTGAAATTTAAAAAGAATCCTCCAAGAGCTGCCTGCTGGATTTTCCTTTCTGAGTCTTTTTTTTTTTTCAAGTCAGAACGTTGGAATAAGACGAGATAAATTCTCCGCTGTTGACTGAACGTCCACCCCTCGGTCCAAGGATGGCTTTTCTAGGGGTCGGGCTAAATGAGTCGTGTCTTGAAAGAGGTTAGCTTCCCCTGACCTGCTCAGAAGGTTCTTATGTCTTAGGAAGTTAGGAAGGTGTCTCTGAGGACACCTGCCACCTTTCTGAGTAAATCCAGCCTCCTTCAACTCTCTCTCTCGACATCTTTCACTTCACATCGTCTAAGATGAGAACCAAGTGTCATCTGGTGATGCGTCACACAGAGAAGCATTCGTGCCCAGGGGGCCAAGGCAACCTGCCCCCTGCGACAGCCACAACCCTGCAGATGCTCAGGGTCCCCCAACACGGGCACCCCACGTTCCGTAGCAACGCGTGAAAAGACAGCCCGAAAGCTCTCATGCGACCCACCTCATGAGAAAAACAGTCTTCAAACCAAGACTTCAGACCTTATTTTGAGGACAAAGCACAAAGAAGCAATTGCTGCTCCAGGTTTAAAAAAATATAAAAACCGAGGAGGGAGGGTCAAGCTCAGTGCACGAGGTCCTGGGTTCCATCCCCCAGCACCGCCATTAAAATAAACAAATGAATAAACCTGATTACCTCCCCCGCCACCAAAAAGAAATAAATAACATTAAAAAAAATCAGAAAAAAAAAATTCCCAAGCTTTCAAGAGGCTTCCCCAGATTTCCAGAGCGCGGGGGTTTCGGGCCAGGCGCCCTTTGTGGGGGATGAGGGCTTGGAAGGCTGGAAGGCGCAGTGTGCGCCCAGCGGCCCAAGCTTCCCCCGACCCCCGCGGGGACGGCAGGTGGCCCTGCCCCCGGCGGCGTGCGGGGGGCGTCCCCGTCCCCGCCGCCCGCTTACCTGGGTACAGCGTGCCCGGGAGGCCCATGCTCTGCAGGTAGTTGTGGCAACGCTCTTTATGCTCCTCCAAAGAGCTCCGCTGCTTGTAGCTTCGGCCACAGTATCCACACTTGTGCGGCTTGCCGACTGCGGGAGACACAAGTGCGTTTAGGAGCCCCGTTAAGGGTCGGCGTCACGGGTCACGGGCAAGGCACGCCATACAGTGACCACTAAAAAGTCCGCAAAGTGCAGCAAAACAGAACTAACTCTGCTCTTGATTGCTCAAAGCATGAAGGACTCGGTCAGAATTACTGAATTTAAAAATGTCAGTACCCAGGGGGCCCCCGATTGTACCAGGAACTGCCGTGATCCTTGTGTCATCTTACTGTGCCCACTGTCCGACTCGGTCGCTCTGTACGTGGGGGAAGCAAACGCGGGGTTTGTCCCCGGGGTGCTGGGCAACAGGGCAGAGACGCCAGGACCGCCCCCGCCTCGGCCGGATGCATGGGTCCCCCCCAGAGTCGGACTCCCATCCTGGGCCAGGTCTGGCGTGACACTGGTGCCGGATCTAAGGCACCCAAGGTGACTTCAACTCCAAGGCGTTCAGGTCTTTCTCCAAGAAACCCTCGGTGGACAAACACACTTTAAGGACATGAGCATTTGGCTTCCAAAATGTGTTTTTCTTTTCCTATCTTGGAAACACTCTGTTTTTTTTTTTTTTTTGCTCCCCAAAGAACTTCAGGATGGCGTGGCTTCTGGATCAGCGCTGTCCAACAGAACGTACCCTGTGGATGGCCGTGTCCTCTCCCGGCACCATCCAAGACGCCAAGATGTGGCCGCCAGCCAGCCGTGGCTGCCGTGCCTTCCAAGGACGGCTGGTGTCCCTGAGAACTGAAGTTTACATTCCCGTTCGTTTTAATTGATTAAAATGTAAAATTAAACACCACATCTGGTAGTGGCCACGGTACTGAGCGGTGCCAGGACAGGGTTTTAAAGCACCTTCCGTTTCTTATAAGACACACATTTCCATCCAAAACCAGCATCTTTTACTTCCTTCTCCTATTGTTAGATGTCACATGTTTGAGAGCGTTATGTAAAAATCAATGCCCCCTAAATGGGGAACGTTTGGTAAAACAGATTAGCCAAAGCTTGTTTGGTTAAATAGCTTCCTTAGGTGGACAGAAGCTCCGGTTTAAGCCGACTAAGACAAAACCCCAAATCTGGAACATTTAAGAGAAGGAAAAACGGATTTTTCTTTATCTGGAGAAAGCACTTCATCCCAAATGTCAGAGAAACAACATTGAAATAAACAATGTTGCCTAAAATTGTACAATTTTTTGAGTGCGGCCTTTGGACACTAACTGACTGTTAACTAACCCACTCAACGTCCTTTCCTAGAAAGGCTGTAACTTTAGCAAATTCCTGTACACGTGGCCTGGTGTCTAAAGGCACATTTTTTTTTTCCTGATTATGTGATTGATTTCAACTCTGGAACGTAAGACGTTCACTGGAAGCAACTGAACTGCAGTAACCAAAGTATATCCACTCTTCTGCAGGAAAGAAAGTCTTTAGCTAAGCTTGCAACTCCACCCTCCCAGGCCACCCAGGCCCCTCTTGTTACGGGCGTGGGGATCTCAGGCCACCACCGGTCGCTGGGGGAAAAGCGGCCCGGCTGGTTGTGGTTTGTAGCGGAACAGGGGTGCGGCCAGTGCACCACGGAACAGAATACGACCCCGTCTGGCTCTGCAGACAAAGGCTGGAGTCCCCACTTCGTTCTAGAGGAAGCATCGTGTAGTGTGCCAGTGGTCCACTCAGACGGCAGGCTCGCCAGCAGCCCTGGAGCCACAGTTATCAGCTCATCCGTGGATGCATGATAGAAGTAAACTGTCCGAGGCCGACCGCTGCTTCGTGTGACGGCTCCAGACACTGGCCACACCCGGGGCCGGCCTGCCCGGATGACGTGAGGGAGCCAGGATGGCCCACAGCACTGCCTTAGATGCTTCCAGTGTCATGGCAGGACAGCGAAGGGGGAGGCATCGCGTTAAGGGGGGAGGACTGATACTCAGGAGAGATTCCTGTTGCAAAGCGGGGTAAACCCAGATGTCATCGGATTTTCTCCCAAAGGTGGGGGGGGCGTGCTTCCTGCCAGCTCCAGTGTGGAGTTACCGTCCCCTGCGAAGGTGTGGATGTGACTCCGTGTGAGTGGTCCGTGTGACAGTCTAGTCCCAGGATCGCCCGCTAGGCTCCACACACAGACCACGTGACTGTCACATCTGTGGCCTCTCTGAACCTGTCTGTCACTTAGCTCTCTGCACCCCCTCACCTCTGGCAGGACAGCAGGCATGCTCCTCCCTGCCCACACGTGCACATTTGCAAATTGTCCCCCTTTGGGGGGCCGCAAAGCCCCCGATGACCCCCTGCAGGCGCCACGCGCGGGAGGAACATCTCGTTTTCATGATGCTCATTAACTGCCTGCCACACACTGTCTAGCACTGACGTGTCACTGCCATGTTGCACCGTCACCTCCAGGCTCACTCACAGAATTCCACGTCCGTCTGGAACTTTCCCAAAAGCCAGCTTTAGAAACTCACCTGTGGGCACGGACTCAGGCCCCTCTTTCTAGCGGACGTCTCCCCGGATGCCTCCCGCCCAAGACCGGCTGTCCCCTCCCCGTGCTCCCGCTGTCCCCTCTGACGCGTGTGCGCGTCGTGGTGCCCGAAAGCTCCATGGGGAGCTCGGTCAACGTGACAAGGAAGTGGAGCCCAGGGAGGGGCCCCCAAACCCCAGCACTGATGACTCTCATCATGTTTGGGGGACAAACCTTCCCCAAGGACCCGCCACCCCCTGCCCCCAGGGCTGCCCGAAGGCGGTGACGTCAGATATCCCTGGGGTGTGTGTGTGCGTGTGTGTGTGGTGGTGAGGGGAGGTGACATGATCGCATCTGCTCAGCGGTGGCTTTGTGCTCACAGGCTGGGGTGCTTTGAAAATTGTGGGGCCTTCCTGTGACCTCACTGAGGCTCTGATTTTTCCAGATGCGTTTCCTAAAATCTGGTAACAGCCCCCGCCGCTGGCCTCTCCTGCTGAAGTCCCCCCGGCCTCCGGTGTGACAATGAGACTCAGGCCCAGGTGGGGCGGGCCCTCAGGTACCAGGCGGCCCCCAGCCCTCGTCTCCGTCACCTCTGCGGCGAAAATGACCCCGGTGATGACTCCGTGTGAAAGCACTGCGGGTGGCTTGATGCTGGACGTCCAGGGCTGTGTTTGGGAACCGTGGGGGCCTGGGCCGCAAAAGCGGAGCCGGGAAAAAAGCCTTTGCAAGGGAAATCCACTCACCTGACAAGGACGAGGCCTCTTCTCTGAGGTGAGACTCACGCGTGTGCACGTGCACGTGTGTGTGAGTGTGAGCTCCCCCCCACCTGTTTCCTCTGTTTACCCGGGAGGTCGGGGGACCGGGGACGGGCAGCCAGTGCTGTGCTGTGGGGGGCTGCGTCCTGGACCAGGCTGGGCGATGCTGGGTGGCGGCCGCGCCCCGAGGACCTACCGGAGTGCGTCCTCAGGTGGCCGGTGAGGGCGTCCCGCCGGCGACACGCATAGTTGCACAGGTGGCACTTGAAGGGCTTCTCCCCGGAGTGGAGTTTGATGTGCCGGAGAAGGTTGCCTTTCTGGGTGAAGGAGGCCCCGCACTGGTTGCACTGGAAAGGCCGCTCTCCTGGTTGGGGGGGGACGGGAGGGACAGCCGGTGAGGACAGAGCTCGGCGCGGGGAGGACGCTGCTTCCCACGGGCCCGGTGACTTCCACCAGCCGCGGGTTTGATGGGACACGCGGCTTTCAGACTCAACCTGCCAGCAGCTCCTTAACGCTTCACTGGTTGGGTCAATTTGATCTGAAAATCTAATTTTTTTCCCCCCTAAATCAGAATAGCACATCACAATGCAAATTCAAACTCATTTAAATAAAGTGACTGCTACGTTTTGTGATGAAGAAGCACTCTTCCTGATCAGCAGTTTTGGAATAAACCAATATCCAATTCTGCGTGTTGTGGCATTTGGTGGGGTTTTTTTTAATGCGGCTTTTTTCAAAGGGTCTTTAAAATATGCCACTGAAGCATCGAAATAAAAAGGGAACTCATTAAAAATGCATTTCAGGATCAGAAGTTCATTTCAGCGTTACATTCTTATATTTAAATGAAAGCCACTTCATTATAGCAGTTATAATAAGTTCAATTCATTTACATTTTCCCTGTTTTTTCCCTTTCAATTTCTCCTCCATTACCTGTCTGTCCCTACGCGGGCGAACAGGAAAGAGACACAGAGGGAGAGAGAGCGAATGAAACGAGAAGCTGAGGGGCCGGGAGGCTCTGCATCGTCCAAAGAAATGTCCCTCACCTCCCCAGGAAGGTGCGTTTAAACCCCAGCTGCATGGACATGCCTGGCTTTTTGCTTCATTCGGGGTCCCCCCAGACCTTTAAGGTCTCATGGGTCCCCCTATAGCCACTGAGGACAGTTGCATTTTCAGAATGCATTTCTAAGAGATGCGAATTACTGGTTCAGAGTCCTCACAGGGGTGACGCCGCTGGAGTGGGGACCAAAAAAATAAAAAATAAAAAAAAATAATAAAAGGCCCCAAAAAGCAAAAAGACCCAAACCACTGGAATCTCGGGTCCCCAAACCCTGCACGGTGACAAAGTGGTAAATGTGTGTCTGCCAACAGGAAAGGATGCTGCAAAGGAGTCAGCTCTTGGAATCTACGTCGGTGAGTGTTTCTGTTAACTCTCACTGAAGACAGGGGTACGTTGGTCCTCAGTCAGTCAACACCTAAGCCCTTTCAAAACCAAATGTATTTTTTTTTCTTTTAGAAGAAGAGCTGTCTGCAGGACCACACTGTGTGGTGTTGAGATTCCATGAAAAGGCATTTCCCTAGGACAGTTTCTCCTTTGGGGGGTGGGGGGGGAAGAATGTGTTAAAATGTATATTTAGCCATTTCCCCAATTAACGTATACGATTTTGGGGAACAAGACAGAACCCATCCAAAGCAATTTAAGCAGAGGGATACTGGTACTATTAAAACAGGTGCCAGGTTAAATTTTAACAGTCTGTTTTGGTGCCTGAATTTCATGTTTAGCCTCATTTTTACTTTCTAGCGGGCTGGGGAGCTGAGTCACGGGAAAATTGATGGATCCTCCAACCACTCACTCTGGGAGGGGAGGCCTGGGGCGTTGGGAGACCCCATGCCATGAAAATGCTGATGCTAAGCATGGGGGACACTCCTGGTGGCCAGCGTGGCGTGGCGTGACCCGCACGCACCGTCGAGGGCTCCCTCCGTGCTGGGCGCCTGGCTTAATGGCTGCAGGGCCAACCTGCAGTGCAGCCGGGGTCTGTGCAGGACAGAGTCAGCGGGGACAGCAAGGACAGGGCGTGACAGCCGGGTGCCCCTTCTGCAGAACAGGGCGGGAAGGACAGACAGAGGGGACCGTCTCTTCGAGAGTGAAATCTGTCTTCTGATTTGAGTCAGTCTGTAACTGGTGCCTTGCCTGGCAAGCTTTCCTGGAAATCTGTTTCTGATTGCCTGTGCTGGCCTGAATCCCTACACGAGGCTCGGGGACTCCTGAAGGGAGCCTTCCCCGAAGTGACAAACCCCCTCGGGGGTTTCCCTTTGCAGGTGTGAGCAGGAAAAGGGAGCCGGGCCCTGGAGCCTGAGGGCAGAACGCGGCCCCGTCTGTCTGTCGTGCTCTCGTTGGCCAGCCGCCTCCCTCCTGCAGGTGGCCAGCTTGCTCACGGCAGCCAAGTTACATCCAGTTTCTCCAAGGCTGTATTCCGTTTTATTTACGTGGGATGAGGACTTCCATGGCATGAATTCAAAATTCAGTTTTTCACCCCAGGGACCCTACACAGAGCTGCCAAGTGGCGGGGACTCTCTGTAAGGATGGTTCAGCTCCTGCAAATAACTTCACGGGGTCAAAAAAGACAGTCATCATGGGACTTCTGGGCGTGTATGAGAAGAAGGTGAATTGAACAAAGTACATGGAACTGCAAGAATTCGCTTGGGTCTAACGCAGCCACGCCTCGGAGCAGCATTCCAGTCCGATGCTGTGTTTATAAATCATGGTGACTGCGCCCTGTCGCCTTATAGATGGGGACCGAGGGGGCTCCGGGCAGCCCAGACTAACCATAATCCGGACACTTTCCTTGGCGTTTATTGTTAAAACTCAGATCATTTAGGAAATTAAGTTTGGATCTCCGCCTGGCAGGGATTCCCCTGCCCTGCAAGCTGCTTCCTACGTCTCTGGCCTCTGGTTCTCCCACTAACCCCAAGAGGCTGGGGGGCAGGAGTTACGATTATGCTTGGGTTTCAAAAAAATTGAAACTGAGCCGCCAGCCTGGGGAAGTGAAATGGTGGCACCAACGGACCCTCACGGAGCTGGCGACATGGGACACCGCCCCGGCATCCGGGAAGGACACCCGGGGACCGGCAGGTGCAGGTCCCGGCTTCGGGGGGGAAGTAAGGTGGCCCCTAAGCTCCCAGACGAAGAGCCCCCTGAAGTCACGCTGTGCACGGTCCGTTACCCAAGCGCGTGCCCCGCCGCCCACGGATGCTCCGAGCCTGTGCACCCCGGCATCCTCTGGGGTTGCATCAGAGTCTGCGTTTCTTGAAGACTTGAAGCTTTGAGAAGTGCTGCTCTGGGGGTGCTTTTAGGCCTAGAGGGGCCAGGGCAGAGTCGCTGATGAGCAAAGCATGCGCTTCTCGTGTCTTCCACTCAGATGCCAGGAAAACGGAAAGCTTTCTAGCACGTCTGTTTATTCAAACCAAGTTTGGCCAAGATATTTCTACACTCTGACTCCGTAATTACATGAGGGGAAAAACACTGGGACGAGAATTTAGAGGTTCTCTGTTTCAGGTTTTTTTTTTTAACCCAGAAATCAAGGCAAGAACCATAAACCTGTTGTGTATGTCCGTGTTTCTGGGATTTACTGGCCTGTCCTTGCCGCTTAGCTGCCACCTGGGGAGGAGAAGGCGGCAAGCAGCGAATGCTTCTCTGCATATCTGAACTTGGCAGGTTAATTAAATGCAATTCTTCTTCTTTTTTTTTTTGTTTAATCCAGGCAGGCAGTCATTATATTCTGGCCATTTCGTATGCCAGGATTTCATTCATTGATCAAATATTTATTTAAGAGAATTTTCACTGTACAGCCAGGCTTTACGTGAATTAGCAGGAAAGTAATTCATTTGTGAAGGCTATTCCTCCGTCAGGAGTGTATTAGCGTGGCTCCCGGTGTATTCTGTTAAGTGTCCATCACCGGGAAACCCACCTTCACCCTAATTTCCACCTCATTACAAAGGGGGGGTGGGTGGGGGGAGCCTGACCACGCACGTGGGGCTGGACGTGACGGGGCTACTTCACCGGGTAATTGGAGGGTTAAGGGGCACGTTAGGGAAAGTCAGGCTTGCTTGGCTGTAGAACTTAAATTTTTATTGAAAATGAATGTTTTTTGAAAATAAATGTATTTTACAGGTTTTCCAGCTGCACGACAGCCAGCAGGTTGTCGTCTGGGGGAACCTCCTGATTCAAATTAAAAAATGATCTGCATTTCTGGACAAATCGGTATTTGGGCTCAATGGATTTTCTGAATTCCTGCTTCATTTCTTGATAATCAAAAACCTGTCTATCCCCACATAAGACTTGTACAAAGCTGTGATTTTCAAGTCTTCCTCCTCACGTCCCTGGGACATCTTTTAAAGTTTGTTTTGCCTCTAAAGTCTGCTTTTTAATCTGTTTTTTTTTTTTTGCCCTTCTCTTGTGGAGAACAGTGGTAGACACCGGCTTTGTGCTGACCTGCAATGCCATCCCGTAGGCAGCAATGTATCAGGGCGTGTTTTATGTCCAAGCTCTCAGTGACCACTGGACTTGGCGAATTGATTGTGTTTTGCCCCCTTTAAAAGTTTTAGGGCAGAAGGGCAACGTTTCTGTTCAACTCAAAAGACACCTCGTGCAGGCAGTTAAAGGTAAGAGGCGAGAAGGTGACCTGTTGATACTGTATTTTGAAGACTCTCCAGTGCCATCAGGGATGACCTGACAGTCCCGGTGGAAAAGAACGTGACAGGCCAGCCACCAGGACTGCACACTGGGGGACGAGGAGGGGACAGAACCAAGACCCTGGCTATATCCAGCCCCCAATGTGAGAACCTCTCAGGAGCCTGGGCGCAGCCATCAGACACGAGGCTCTCTTCCTCGTTTGTTTTTGGACACAGAATACTGTATTCTCTGATACGTGCAAAACCTCCATCACATCATCTACTAGACGGGGGCTTTGGGTGTTAAGTTCTTTACCAATCTGAGGTGAAAAGCGATGGCAAGCAAGCAGTCTCGTTGGAAGTCTCGCCCGCTGCAGGATAAGCCGTCGGAGAAACTGAGCACTTCCTGAAAGACTGAATTTTGTGGCCATTCCTTCATTCAACTCGTGCTTCTAAAACTCAAGCCGTGTTCATTTGCATCCCTCCCCAAAATGCATGTTTGACCCATGACTGCTCAGTGGAAAAGTCTGAGGAGTAGATTTCAGCGTGTCAGTCTCCTCCCGTTTCATCTGGTTTTGTTTTCTTAAGGGTGAGCCATTTGGCACATGTGGGGTGACAGCGTCCCTGCCGCTGTCCAGCGGGTTCAACCTCACGGCCCTCGACAGAGCTCGCGTGAGGCTGTTACCTTTTCTGTTCTGTTTTATGGCTTTAACTTTGTAGGATTGAATTGATTTTTTTTTTGTTCTGATCAAATTGAAGTAAGTATTTGTTTTTGTCACCTCAAAGCAGCACGTGGACACAGAAGGGAAAAGTGGGCTGAAGTAGCCAGTCTTGGCCCCCAGGCCGCCTCCCTGGCCTGCCAGATTGGTGACTCCCAGCTCCCCAAACAGAACCAGGAGCGAAACATTAAACAGAACTGGCTGCCAGAAAGCCTCATCAAATTTAAAAAACTCGACCACCGTCCAGTTCGCAGTACAATTTTATGGGATGGAGATCATATTAAAATAATGGAAAACAGAAACAAAAAAAAAAAAAGAAAAAGAAAAAAGAAAAAAAGAAAAAGACCCAAGAAATCAACAACCCAGGTGTCTTTTTGGGTATGGTGCCAGGGAGGGTGGATTTCAGGTTCGGATTGCTCATGTAGGATAAGAAAGCTACGCCTCGCTCTGACTGGGAGCCACTGCTATGCTGCCAGTCAGTTGGCAACAGGATCAGAACACTTTGCTGAAAAGAGCATTTCCTCTGCTACACCCCACGGACCTCTCCAGGCCGCCAACGGAGGGTCTACGCCAGGCCTTACCCGTGTGGCTTCTCTTGTGGACCATGAGAACATTGGGGCCGATGCAAATTATCCCACAGACATCACACTTTAGTTTGCCGTTCGGAAGTCGAATGCCTCCGGCTCCTGACAAAGCTTTGTGGCCTTGGGCACTGTGGGAGCCATTCATTTTCTCTCCCGAGGCATCAAGCATTCGTAAATCCTCTGCACACTCTTCACCATTCATTTCACAGGCACGCCCATTCTCTTCATCACTCTGAGTCTCTACTTTAACATTACCGGCTGAAAGAGACAACACAGGGTGCCGCTCAGTGTCATCGCAGGAACAAGGCAAAACAGCACAACAGCAAAAAGAACGACCCAGTGGAAGCAGAGGGCTTCTAAACGTACAGCAGGGGTGACCGTGCAACCTGTGCGACCGTGGCCCCGAGCTCCGGGCGTAGCGACCCACCGGGAGATGTCATGGGTTCGGGACCACTCGCCTGTCCTTTCCAAAGGGCTGAATGGCAGAGTGTGAAAATGCACAAAAACGCCGTTTTATCAATTCTCGCTTTCAAGTTGGGGGACCTCTGAACACGTTCAGGTCACCGGGTGCACAGGGACAACCTTGTAGCACCTCCGGAGTGGCCTGAGGCCAAGTTCTGTGAGCCAAAAGCACCACTCCCATCAACAGGTGAGGACTGATCACATGACTCATGACTTCTCAGTGGAAACGTCTGAGGAGTGGATTTCAGCGTATCAGTCCCTTCCCGTTTCGTTCGGTTCTGTTTTCTTAAGGGTGAGCCATTTGGCCCATATGGGGTGACAGCGTCCCGGAGGTGTGTGTGACCTTGTTTGGCAAAAATCCCTAGAAAGTGCTTATCAAGCCTGAAAAAAACCTCACTTTCCACTGCTACCTTTTCTGTTTGTTTGTTTCATGGATTGATAAACGTAGGGACACAACCCAGTGAACACATACTCAGATTTCTGACCACGGATTCCTGAAAGAGTTCTGTTCTTTCGTTTCTTTGATGCACCATCATTCTCCATCCCTTTTATCACATAATGATAATAAGCCATGTGTCCTAAAGCAGACCCATGATTTCTTAGGTTTTCTTCCAGCTCCTGAAGGGTTGACGGGGATGGTTTGTGAACGTAAGAGGTCTCGGCTAGCTTTTCAACAAGAAAGACCTGTGCACGTGTGGGGCGAAGGGTTCCTCCCACCGAGTATAGTAACCACCGTCCACCCTGCTCTGTTTCCCCAGCGTCACAGTCAGGGTCATGATTCACGCCATGCACGTATTTTTCTTGGTAAAGGAAACAAGACATTTGATTTGCATTCTTCTGAAACGCTGATGCATGGCTGAATCCAACGCTGGTTGGGATAACCTGCAGTCACGCTGAAAGCCGTCATTTCCATCAGAGTCAGTAAGATTAGTAAGAGGAAGTAGGTACACTCTGCCAAGTAAAGTAACCAACGGGACCGACAGGAACCACGGTGACAAAACCTTCGCCCAACGTTGTGAATCATGGGGCTCTCCGAGCGTGGTCCCCGGGCACCACCACCAGCATCTCCCGAGATCCTGCCCAAGGAGCAGACTCGTGGGTCCACCCCAGACCCACTGAACCGGAAACCCCAGGGGTGGGCCCTGCCCGCCCTGGCGTTGCCACGAACCCCCCAGAGGATTCCAACGGACACTCAGATGGGAGGGAACCTGTGTTAGTAACTCCCCCCCAGGTTCATTTCACTCAACACATGCCTCATGCTGGGGAAGTCCAGAGCCCAGACTCTGAAGCCACAGTTTCTGGCTTGGAATCTCAGCTCCTCTCTCTCTCTCTCTTTCTTTTTTTTATTTGGCAGAGGGTGTAGAGGATGGGTAATTAGGTCTATATTTTAATTTATTTTAAGGGCAGT